GCCTTATTGAGACCAGCCTCTTTTAATGGAGCCCTTAGCACCTCAGTTAAAATCTGCCTTTCCACCAGCTCTGTGGGAAGGGGCTGATAAGGATCCCCCCCCCTCCCCAGGATGAGAGACCCACTGTGAGTGCCAGGGGCCAAAGCAGCAGGTGTTTGCATAAACCAGGGTCCAGGCAGCAGCCTCTGACTCCCGCGGGTCCCAGCCCAGCGGGCAGACAGTCACAGGCACAGGTGCACACCCACAGGCACACGCCCACAACTCGGTGCGTGGAACAGCATGGACAAAAGTGGCCCCGAACATTTCTGGTTATCCTTGCAAGGCTCCGTGTTTAGGGGGCTCCTTGGGGGCCCCAGTGTGCTACACTATGCTCTGATTTTCATCCTGATCTGCGACATCCTGGCCCGGGAAGATAATGGGTTGCTTTCTTAGCCACCGCATTTTACGCTCGGCCTGGATAGGAACATGGTAAGTGCTCTTTACAAAGGGAGCAAAAAACCCAGACTTTTGTGGCTAATGAATCGCCTTCCGTGCCCACGAGGCCACTGTGTGACCTTTTCTCCACCCACTTCTCAGGCCACTTCAGTCACGAGAGCGACCATCCTCCCTACCCACCTGCACAGAACACGGCCGCGCCCACCACACCCACAGCTCAGAGGCCCTCTCCCTCCAGGTCACAAGTAACGGCTATGTCCCTAAGGTGGCCATCGAGCCTCTCGGGCAGCACTGCATTAAACCGGTGGTTCCCACGTGGGGCGCACGCCCCCCCCCGCCCCCGCCCAGGGCAGTGTGATGTTTAAGGGGGGCAATTCGAGAATGAGTTATTCACTGTGAGTTTTTTGCATTCCTTATGGTTCTAGGGGCCTCATATACAGCATATAAATATGTATTGTGACATATTTATGCATTTTGGTTCTATTATATGTTTTGAAACTTTAGTTGCTCATTTTTCATATCACTTCATATGATTTTTTTTTTAACCATTTCTTAGGGATTTCTTCCTCATACTTCAACGGTCCTTTCGTTCTTTTATTTTCCTCTCTCATGGACGCCATGTTCTGTGGAAGCTCGTTTAGACCAAGTTCGTGGCCTTCTAGGCTCCCTCCGCGTGAACAGGAGC